CCGCGCCCCATTGCAGGCTCCCGCCATTGGATGTCGATCTCATCTGGCATCCCGAGCTGGCGGAGCGTGGGTCGCCACTGGATACTGCTCACCATCGCCTGGCGGTCGGGTGTGCATATGCTGGCTGCCTCTCGCGCCTCGCGCGACTCCCCCAGCCCTCCGCCTCGGCGCACCCGACTGGACAGGCAATGTGAAACCCTTGCCTGTCCAGTCAGCACGTCAACGTCTCGGCTGTAATGGCCTTCGTCAGGACAATGAGCTGAACTTGCGGCTGCATGCGAATACAACAGCCAAACATAATACCGCCGCCGCAAAAGCAGAGCGTTAAAAAGTTGTCAGATGGCCCTGAGACTCAACCGACGTCCCCAAGATGGTTCAACTGAGCCTCTTCGGCATAGCTTCATCGAATCACCGCGCCCAAGACGTTCCCGAGACCCTCAGCGGAACGAGGCTGCGGACAAGGATGGCACGTTTGAGCTCAGCGCCAACTCAAACAATGTCCTGAACCGGAACGGGATCTTAGACTCGACCTCCGTCCTGAGGGGGACAAAAAAGGTACCGACACCGTCTCCCAGTGCGCTCCGACGAAAATTTCGAGGCCACTTCAGGGCTCTGTGCCACTTGGGACGTGGGGGTTTTGAACCACGGGGGGGCGGCGCGTCCGAGGGATTCCTGATGACTTTGAAGTGCTTCTCCTTCCATTGTCGGGGGCCCATGACGGTCCAAGCAACCAGCCTCCAAGATAGCCCCGAGACGGCCCCAGAGGCCCCCAAGAGGGCCTCAAAACGGCCCCAGAGAGCTCCAAGATGGCCCACAGAGGCCCCAGAGGGCTCAAGAGGCCCCCAGGACGGCCCAAGAGGACCCCAAGAGAGCCACAAGATGGCCCCGAGAGGAGGCCCCGAGAGGCCCCAAAGGGGCCCCCAAGAGGCTTCCAGGAGCCCCGAAGAGGCCTCCAAGATGCCCCAAAGACGCCCCAACACGACCCAAAGAAACCACCAAGTGGCCTGCGGGATTGCACACGAATGGCGCGCTGCTGCTGTGCTCATCGGAATTTTAAGTTGGCGTTGCCCTGTGCTGCCACGCGGCGAACGCTCTTCGCCCTCGTGGACATTCGCGCACGTCGCGGCCCTGAAGCCAAGGGGGGCGGCGCATCCGCCCGCCGTGGCGCTCTCGGCGCCCTGGTGCAACTTCTCGGCAGAACTCCTCGGCAGACGAGCAGGGCAAACCACTCAAGGCCCAGTCCGAACGTGCCCTGGACTAGGGAGCCCACAAAGAACGTACGCGCCCAGCTATGTACATGAACACGGCCCCTCGATTCGCGAGACTGGCCGCGTTATACGAACATTTGTGCAATGCGTGCTCTCGAAACCAGGGTGGATTCATGTACATGTACGTCCTTCTTTCGCTCCTGATGGACGTGCACCTCGCGAAACGACGAGGAATCCGCCCGCCCACCGGGCTGAGGAGGGCTGAGGCTCTGGCCCCTCCCCTCCTTCCCCCAAAAGTCTCCGCATTTCCGCCGCCCGGCCAAGACGACCCCAAGACGGCTTTAAAAACGAGCTCGATTGTCACACTATTCTGGGCATGTTTTCGGGGCGCATGTTGGCTCCATTTCGGCTACGCCGGGGCCCCTCCTTGGCCTCCAGAATCCGTTTCCAGGGCCCTCCCAAGCGCCTTTTGGGCCCCACTTCGCCTACAAACTGGAAATTTCAAACATCTACTCAATCTCATTGGACTTTGATGAATTTCGCATCGCCGGGGTGTCGCCTGGGCGCCTCTTCTACCTGACTTTTTGGGCTCGCCTGGGGTGCTTGCGACCTGTAAGTTTCGACGTTGTCTTTGGAGGCGCTCTGGGGCCAATTTTAGACGATTCTGGTCCCGCCTGTGGCCCCATAGCGAGGCCCGAACCGGCCAGGTTTCTGATGGCATTCGGACCAAGTTACGGCCAAAAACACGGACGTGCTGTCGCTCGGGCCATTGGGACATCCGCCTGGACCGCCGTGGGCCCTTGTTGGCACCTTTTTTCGGGGCCCTTTTCCCCCGATGTGGGCGCTTTTTGGGTCGTTTTCGGGCCGTCTTGGGCTGGTATCGGGCAATGTTCTGGCCATCTATGGCCTCGTGCTCAGATGGGGAGCGCAGATCAAGAGAGCCACCCGGCTGAGGGGCGCGCGAGACGCCATTGTCAGAGCCCCCCCCCCCCGAATTTTCGCGCCCCGCGAATGGGGCACGATGGCGCTTCTGAGCGCCAGGCTGGCGCCAGCTGCCCCCACCGTCGACGCCCTCTCCCTCCATTTCTTCTCTTGTCCCGTACCCCTCAGCGAGAAGAAGGCGCAGTAAGGAGGAAGGACGAGGAGGAGGAGAACGAGGAGGAACCCCTGTCGGTTCTCCAGACGGCCCAACGCGGAGATGGCGAAAGAGCCGTCCAGAGGCCCGCCGTCCAGGCCGCTTGGTGACCCTCTGGTCTCGCCCCTTCTCTGGGTTCGGCAGCTGTTGGCGACTGTTGGGCGGTGGCCGTCTTCGAACCGTCCTGGCTGAAGTTTATGTGGTATCCGGGCTACTGCTGCGGATGCGCAGCAAAAACACACGAGTGCAACGTCCACATCACGAATCCGGCACTGAGGATGACGAGCCGACGACCGCACGACAAATTTACCATCGATCCGGCACGCGGCATGCCTGGGCCCAAGGAAAGATGGAATGGATAGGACATGGAACGCAGGAAAATCAACGGAACACAACTGCAGAACATGCTTCATTATCTTCCAACTATAATCAGCCCGTCTTAGAACTGTCGCGGCCTCGACTGGCGAGAACTGGAGTGGGGCGGGCGGCGAACGCCAAGCGTCAGAAGTCACGGAGAAGCCGCCTCCTCCCTCTTCCCCATCTTCTTCATCCGCCCCTCCTCACCCCCACCCTCCTCCACCTCCTCGTCTTCCTCATATGTGTCTTACTTCTCTCGCCCCTCCCCCATCCGCCTCACTATCTTGCCCCCGATGCTCCATAGATCCTCCTGCTTCTCCCCTCCTCCTCCTCGACGCATTGACGAATCTGCGCAGCGCGCGCGCCCCCGCCGCTGAACTCCTGGACCGCCGGCACGAACCAGTAGAGCACCTTCACGGACCGACAGTGCTCTGCGTCGCCGGGCCGCTAGCCAGCCAGCTCGGCCGCCAGCGCGGCGCGGGCGGCAAGCGCGCGCCCCTGGCCGAGCGCGCTCCGCAGCTGCCGCGCCGTCGCGCGGCGCAGCGCGCAGCTGAACTCCGCGCCCCCGCGGCGGGCCAGCGCGCCTGCGGCGCGCCTCGGCGGCCGGCCCGTCGCCGAGCGCCTCTGCTCGGCCCCGCGCGAGCCAGCGAAGTTGGCGCAAGGCGTTTTTGCCCAGGCGGCCTCCTGTCTCGTGGGCCAGCGGGGGCAGCGGCCAGGGAACGCGCCGCTCTGGGTAGCGGCGGCGTTTGTCCGCCCCCCCCTCCGCGGCCACTGCGCCGTCCGCGTCCGCGGCCGCCGCCAGGGCGCGCGCTTTCCCCAGGACGCAGTAGCGGACGGTCACATCCGCCGACATCCGGGGACAGTCGCCGCGCTGCGCCTCCAAGTCCAGCAGCGCCTCCCCGCGTTCGGCAACGAGCGACGCGCCGCAGACGCTGCAAGGGCCGCTTGGCGGAGCGTCCGCGAAGCCGCGCGCGGCAGCACCCCGCCGCGGTGCAGCGCCAGCGCCAGCGGTCCCAAGCTGGCACCGGGACTTGCCAGGCCGTGCGGAAACCGCACTCCTGGTGGATGCGGTCCCACACGTCCTCGACGTCCTTGCTGCGCGCCTCGATGCCGCCCCCGAAGGCGCAGCGGAAAGCGTGCCGCGCCTTGCGGCAGAGCGGCTGGCCGCAAGACTCCTCCTCCTCCTCCTCCTCCTCCTCCTCCTCCTCCTCCTCCTCCTCCTCATCATCATCATCATCATCATCATCATCATCATCATCATCATCATCATCATCATCATCATCATCATCATCATCATCATCATCATCATCATCATCATCGCCACCACCACCATCATCATTATCATCATCATCACCAGCATCACCATCATCATCATCACCACCACCATCATCATCATCATCAGCATCATCATCATTGTCACCATCAGCATAAACATCAGCATCAGCATGAGCATCAGCGTCAGCACCAGCATCGTCAGCACCGTCAGCATCATCATCATCATCATCATCATCAGCATCATTTTATCATCATCAGCATCATCGACCTCCTCCTCCTCGTCCCCTTCCACCTCCTCCCTCGTCCTTCCTCTTCCCTCCTCCTGCTTCCTTATACTCATCAGCTTTAAAATAGTCATCATCAGCATCATCATCATCAGCATCATCATGATCATCAGCATCATCATCATCATCATCATCACCATCATCAACATAAGCATCAGCATCAGCATCAGCATCAGCATCAGCATCAGCATCATCATCATCATCATCATCATCATCATCATCATCATCATCATCATCATCATCATCATCATCATCATCAACATCAACATCGTCATCATCATGTTCGTCAGCTTCGTGATCATCGACCTCCTTCACCTCCTGTCATCCCCTGACTCCTCCTGTTCCTGCCCTCCTCGTATACATCCGTCTCCTCCCGCCACTTCCTCCTCCTCATCCTCTTCCCTATCATCCTCCTACTCCCCCTCCGTATCCTCAATGCCCTCCTCACTTATCATCGTCATTGACCTCCTCCTCTCTCGCTATTCCTCTTGTCTGGGCCTCAGGGACTCTTTTCTGAGCCTCGGAGAGGCCCTCGGAACCAGAGCTCCCCCCCCCCTCCAGCAACAAGAACTCCGCGGGGCCATCCTCAGGGAAGGGCTGCGCAGCGCCCGCTTGCTGTGTGAGGGGCGCACGGGGTGGTGCTGGCAGGCGGAATGGGCACGCGGCAAGGAGCGCACGGCGGGCGAGCGGCTCCGAGCCTCCGCGTTGGTGCCCCCGAAGCTCCGCGATGCGCGTGTCAGCCTCCCGGGGGGGGGGGGGGGGGCGCAGGGCAGCGCAACGTGCTCTGCCTCCCCTGCCCCCCGGTTGCCCGCGCCTCGCTTCGCGTCGCGGCCAGCGCTGCCGCCCTCCCTCCCGCCACGGAGAGAGGGAGGAGGAGGAGGGCGAGGAAGAAGAGGTGGACAGACGCAGACCCAAGACGCATCAACGCTGTTGCAACACACCATCCCCCCACGCCCGCCCCTTTTTCACGGGCCCCTACAAGAATGTGTTTTCGTTGCAGGAAGTGGCCCACCGACATCCAGTCGGGACTGGATCGGGTGTCAGCCCCGCCAGACTCCAAAAAGAGGAGATCTGTTCGCCAGGACCAAGAGACTGCTCAAAAAAACAATTGCACACGATTCCCCAAACAATGCTTGAACTTACAATTCTAAGAACCTTGCCCTGAATGTCGGTCTAGCGGTTTCCTCCTCGCCGTCGCCGCCACGTCGCCGGGGCCTGGTTGTCCGCTTGGCGGCTCCGTGCTGACCGTCGCCGCCCCGTCGCCGCCTGGTCACCGCCCTTCGCCTGGGCCGAATAATTGTCGGTCTGGCGGCTATGTTGTCGCCGTCGCCGCCCCGTCGCGCCTACATGTCACAACGTAGCTTACACCGCATAGGTTCTTTTCTTCTTTCTCAAATTATATTCGGACCTACCCCCCCACCCTCTCGGGATTAACGGGACACTTTTTCGTACGGCAATTTAACTACGATTCTGCCCCATCGTCCATTTGAAATCTTGTCTCGTAATATCCCAGCCAGGCCGGAGTTCGTTCCCCCCCTCATCATCCCTTGCAAAACGAGCTATGTGCGCAGATTCGCCCCATCAAACATCATCTGTTGTCAGGAACCCCATTGCAACACATGGGGCGAAATGCGCAAGCGCGCGTAAATCCCGCCAACGGGCCTCCCGCGCGCTCGTGCCGAAATAGTTCGAACGCCCTTGGGCGCCTGCTGTCGCAAGAACCATTTGCAAAACATGTGACGAAGTGCGCACGCGCGCGTCGTCGCGCGCGCATGCCGAAGTCCGTGTAAAAAAACCTCGGGCGCCGTATGGATTTCAAAAGCGAACGCCTCGAGAACATATCAAATCATATGGTTCAGCAACATCACTTTTGAAACAAATCAGCGTTCGCGGTCGTGCAGATCTGTAAGAGAACCATAGGTTGTTCAACATGTCAATTGAATTCTACCAAACGGGCCTCTCGCGCCGCATGTCGAACGCATTCGAACGCCCTTGCGCGTGTGGGGGGGGGGAGGGCGGGGAGGAGCACGATCAGCGTCAAAGAATGCCACGCGGGCCACTCGCGCGCGTCGGCCGCGCGCGCATGTCGAATCCCACCAGCCCTCTGGACGTCGATGGTTTAAAGCGATTCCTCTTCCACCTCTCCTTCTTCCCCGTTGGGGAAGGGTTTACCCTTCCCCCTACCCCCTCCCCATGGACCTGGACAAGGGGTTTCGCGGGTCGTCGGAGCGTCCAAAACGACATCGGCGTGGAAGCCAAAATCATTGGTTTTACTAGGGTTTTGGCCCCATTTGGGCCTCCTGATGGGGGGGACTGTAATTCGTAACCCCCCCTCCTGTGATCGATCTCGCACAAGATGGCCCAAAGATGGCCCCCAAGGCCCCCAAGGGTGCCCCAAGAGGGCCCCAAGAGGTGGCCAGCAAGCCCCAAGAGGCCCCCAGGATGCCCCCCAAGAGGCTCCCCAAAGACCCCCAAGAGGCCCCACATGACCCTACAGGGACACCCAAACTGCTCCCAGAGGCCTCGGCGAGAATGCCAAATCATTGATTTTACTACGGTTTTAGCCACATGTTGGCCTGTTTGGGGGGGGTACTGGTTAAGATGACTCCCGGAGCGCCTGGGAGAGCCCACGATGACCTCCAAGATGGCTCAAGCTATCCCACGATGTCTCATAATTGCTTCCTCTGTGTGCTGCCAACTTCCCTGATCGAGGCAATTCCTCTGGGCATCGTTTCCGGATGGGCTGGTGGGGATTTGCGAAACGTCAACAATTGCTTTTAAAACCGTATCGCCGACGCGAGGACATCGTCATCGTTAACGGAAGCGTGATCCACATCGGCGTCGTTATTGGCCGTGCCGTCGTCATGGCCTCGTAAAGATTTCAAAATCGAACGTCACGAACACATGTAAGTATATAGAACATACATGGTTTCGCAACGAGGGCTTCCGAACGAAACCTGCATCCACGCTCTTGCGAATTCTTCAGAACTTAAGAACACCAGGGGCTTTCCAACATGTTCATGTAATGCTGCCGCCTCTCGCATGCGCATGTCGAAATCGTTCGAACGCCCTTGCGCGTCTGCTGTCGCGATCATCCCTTGCAACAGATGGGACGAAGTTCGCGCGCGCATGCCGAAACCCGCCACCAACCTGAAGCGTCGCATGGATGTCAAAAAACAAGCGCCCCGGAAACGTAATCATCTAACCAAATGGTTCCGCAACATCAGTTTTGAAAGGACGCTGCGCTCGCGATCGCGCGGGTTCTTGGGCAGATCATCGGTTGTTCAACATGTTCATCAAACTCTGCCGAATCGGCCTCCCGCGCCGCACGACAAACTCATTCGAATGCCCCTGCGCGCGCGCGGGGGGGAGGGGCGGGGGCGGGCGCGGCACAGTCGGCCGAGGATGCCGCGCGGGCCTCTCGCGCGCGTCGATCACCTTCAACAACAAACATGGCCGACGCGGGGGCGTCGTGCTTGTCGCCGGCAGGCGCGATCAACATCGACGCCGTCATTGGCCGTTTCGTCGTCGTCGCCAACGTCGTCACAATCGTCGCTACTCCCGCAGTCGCGCCCACCGCCGACGGCGTCGACGCGGCGCCGCGCACGGCCAAGCCGCCGACTCGCACTGAGGTGCCCGCTTGGAAGTGCCCGCCGGTCAGGGCCACCGCGGCCGCATCGGTCGCGACAAACTATGAAAGGGGAACTGGAACACACAAATAAGTACACACAAATAAAAATATCTCCAATATTGTCCCATATTTTCTGGGTTTTTGTTTTCCCCCCCACTTCCCATATTTCCCCATATTTTCTGGGAGTCGCCGATTAATTGTGTCTGTATGTTTTTTCCCCTCCTGAAACTAGCTGGCCGCAGCGCGCGCGCGAGCGCGCGCGGGCTCGCGAACGAGGCTGCGGAGATGCACGAGCCAACCCCGTGCACTCATCGCATTCGCCGCCGCGTCGGCTTCGCAAACCGAAAGGCGGGCGAGCGGGGCGCCTGCAAGGGCGTGGAATGTGTAACCTCATTTGTAAGAAAAACGCTTCTGGCCCCCCCCATAGAAAAATCGCCCCTCCCTGGGCTTGGTCGTTCGCCTTTTCGCATTGCAATTAACATATGATTCTGCCCCGTGAGCTCGCGCTGCCCCAATCCAACCGGCATCGCCCCCCCCCCCCCCCGCCATCCTTTGCAACAAAAAAACGCGCGCGCTCTCAGACATCAGAAGAACAACAATTTACAATAATCCCTTGCAGCAGAACCAAAAGACGCGCACGCGCGCGCGTCATCGCGCGCGCACGCCGGAAACCTTGGAAAAAAAACCTTCGGTTGCGGACGGACTTTAAAATCGAGCGCCACGGAAACACGCACGAAAACATAGTTTTGCAACCAGCACGCGCGAGAACAGATTGCGCCCGCGCTCTTGCGAATGCCGAGAAAGCCTGGGTTTTCCAACAGGGTCACTGAAAAAGTCCGACTTGGCCCCTCGCGCGCGAGCGTCGAAATCCTTCGAGCGCCAAAAGCAGCCGGGCGAAGCGCGCGCGCGTCGTCGCGCGCGCGCCGAAATCTTTGGGAACGGGACCCGAGGCATCGCGGAAATTTCAAAATCGAACGCCACGGAAACATTGGAAGCACGCGCGATTCTGCAACATCTTTTTTCTTCTTTCTGTATTTTTACACGCCCAGGCGGGGGAAAACCCGCCGCCCCCTCCCCCCCCAAAAAAACACTCCCGGGATCTGGGGCATAGGGGCCCTCCGGACGGGCCTCGAAGCGGCCCCCCGGGCCTCGCAGGACGCGGCGCGCTCCCGAAGCGACCCCGGAGAGCCCAATGCTGTCGACGACGACCCCCAAGAAGCCGCCATGCCCTCAAAGACCGAACCGTCGGTTTCCCGTTTTCTTCATATTCTGCCAAACGGGCCTCTCGCGCCGAATGTCAAACTCATTCGAGCGCCGCGCGCGCGTGTCGAACTCCTTCGTAAACCTTAATCGCCGACGCGAGGACGTCGTCATCGTGATCGGCGGGCGCGGTCAATATCGGCGCCGTCGCTGGCCATGCCGTCGTCGTCGCCGCCGTCGCCGCCATTGTCGCTGCTCTCATAATCGCGTCTACCGGCGTCGGCGTCGCCATGGCGCCGCGCCCGCCCCAGTCGCCGACTCGCGCAGTGGCGCCCGCCCAGCGGGCAGCGCGCCACCGCGGCCGCGTCGGTCGCGCCGAACTAGCTGGCCGCCGCGCGCGCGAGCACGCGCGGCCGCAAAGATGCACCAGCCAGCGCCCTGCACTCATCGCAATCGCCACCGCGTGGGTCTTGCAAACAACCAGGCAGTCTGGCCATGGACACCCCCCCCCGCGCGCGCGCGCGCCCGCGCTCGCCCGCCGCGGGGGGAACAAAACGCTACATGCACTCGAACTCGCTGACCAAACACCATCTGCTGTCGAGGGCCACTTGCGAGACATGGCGCGAAGTGCACGCGCGCGCGTCGTCGCCCGCGCGCGGCAAAATCCTGCAAAAACCTCGGGCTTCGCGTGGGATTCAAAATCGAGTGCCCCGAAAGGCCACAACAAACAATATGGTTTGGAGATGTAATTTTCCATGGAACCGCGCGCGCTTCAAATTCTGACGCGCAAAACCATCGGTTCAAAATGTGCATCGCAAGCGTCCAAACGCACTTCCCGCGCGCGCGTTGTGCGCGCATTCGCTGACTAAGAACCACTCGTTTTCAAAAAACGCTCGCGGCGCGCTCGCGC